GCTTCTTGTTAAAGGTGGGATTTTAGCTGGTACTTTAAGAAAACGAGAAGATGAGGAGGGAGAGAATTCCAGGTATGGAGGACAGTCAGTGAAAATGCCAAGAATTGGGAGATGGAGGTTGGAGGGGGAAGTAAGGTATAAGAAGATTGGTAGAGTATGAAGGAGTGAGGTTATGAAGGGCTTTGATTGCCAAACAAAGGATTTTATATCCTGGAGTGTCATCCACTGGAGGGGAGGCATGAGAGTTTATTGAAGGTGATGGGGTTGAACTTTTGCTTTAGAAAGTTCATTCTGAAGGCTGAGTGGAGGATGAACTGGAGTGAGAAGAAAATTCAGGTGGGGAAAGTGACTGGCAGGCTGTTGTAATTATCTGATAGTGAAATGATGGAGGAGTAGTGCCAGGGTGATGGCAGTGTCAGAGGGAAAATGAGGCATATAAAAGGGATGTTAGGAAGGTAGAATCAACAGGATATGTTGCAGAAAGAGTTATTTCTTTAAACATTGTTAATTTCCTTTTGTGTTGTTGCTTTTTATATATCTATATATATCTATATATCTATATATATATATATCAAAATGATTTTACTGAACCACTATTGATTTCTTCTTTGGCTTTTTTTTTTTAATAATGGTGTTCTTTTTGCACTGACTGGTGTTAAATCCCTTCACCTAACCTTGTGGCTAATAGCATTAATTTACAAGATGGCTGACTATGTACCATGGTCTAATGAACTAAGCTAATTAAATTTTAATTATCTTAAAAATTAAAGTGGCTATTTAGTTAATGTGTACCAGACACTTTCCTTCTTGATTAGTGAAGAGGGAAGTGAAGTCTTCCTTAACTCCTGTAGTTACTGCTTCAACTTGTCCACATTGGCCCAGCTCACCAGGCTCACACATTGTAAACTAGAGTTGAGTGAAGACATTACCATATTTTTTGTCCAATTTGAAAGGATTTCCTAACTAACTGAATAACTGGGAGGAGATAATAGCTCAAATTTTTATGTGTTTTTTTTTTGTTGTTGTTCTTTTGTTTCAGTTGTATCTGACTCTTTGTGATCCCATTTGGGGTTTTCTTGACAAAGATACTGAAGGGATTTGCCATTTCCTTCTCCAGCTCATTTTACAGATGAGGAAACTGAGGCAAACAGGGTTAAGTGACTTGCCCAGGGTCACATAGCTAATAAGTATCTGAGGCCAAATTTAAACTCAGATCTTCCTGACTCCAGGCCAGGTGCTATATCCATATCCACTGAGTTACCTGGCTGCCTTAGTTTTTATAATATGGCATAACTGTCATGAGTTTGATCCTTAACTTCCCTTGTTTCCTATGGATATTGTGCCCTTTATAGAGGTCAGCCTTCTAATGGACAAATGCGGTTGGTAAGGATAGGGATGAGGGAGTGGAGAATGGGAGTGTAGATGTAGCACGTTAGCCCAACAAATGGGAAAAAAACCCAACTCAAAGTCTGAGTGTTACTAACTCAGTGTGTTGGTACATTTTTTGTATTGGAAAGTCTCTATACTTTCAGAGTGAAAGTAAATTGTTTAGGCTAGGAAGGGAATAAAGATAATTGAAACTTTTCACTTTGCCAAGCTTTTATGTTTTAAAAAAAAGGTCATTGCTTGAATCTTTTAATTGTGATTCCTAATATCCAAAGCTATAAAGGCTAAATTAGGGCTAAGTGACTAATTATCTTCCTCTTGTGAGAGCTTACGAAAGGTTTACCGTGATGTGTGGGGTGACTATAACTTAGATACAGTTAATTTGTCCTGGTTTTAATTGATGTAAAATACTAATTATATTCAGTTTAAACCAAAAATCAGAATGAATATATTTGACTAAAAAAATGCTCAAAGTACCTTCTTCCTGTGAAAAGAAACGTAACACTTAAAAATTCATGCAGACTTCATTTTAATGACAGGTTGTACATCTTAAATCAATTATTTACTTTGAGAATTTTTTTCAGATTCGTTTTGCAGTTATATCAGAACATTGAGGGGTTGAGTCATTCTGTCTTACAAAAGCTAAGTGAAATAGATATCTATAAAATATTAAGACATAAACCATTTCTAATTCAACTGGTAAATTATGCATATTTTGAGTATATTTTTTGCTACTTTATATTAGGAACGTAGTACTCAAATCCAGAAATTCTAATAGTTTTATTTAACTAAAACAACAAGCTTACATATTCTAAATGTTTAAAAGCAATAAGCACAGAAACTTATTTTAATACATGTATAGTTTTGGATTTTTAACCATAATTGTACTTTCAAACAAAAACTAGTCATATTTAGTCAATAGAACATCAGATTGAGTTATGCCTTCTCCTTAGTGTCTTTACCTTCAATTAATTCCAGTTAGCATATATGGAGCTCCTACTGCACTCATTACTGTGCTAGGTGTTAATGGAGGATATTCACAGTATAGGTTGGAGATCTTGCTTTCAAAGTACTTGAAGTCTTATTCAGGAAATGAGAAATATGTATTTAGAACAATCAGCAAACAATACAGAGTAGTGCTGATGTATAGATACACAGTGTTACAGTAAGAGTTAGGAGCTTTCCTATTTTTTTCAGTTACCAAAAGAGGAAGTAGATATCTATGAAGATATTAAGAGGTAAATCATTTCTAATTCAACTGGTAAATTGTGGATATTTTGAATTTTTTTTACTGTTGACATCTTTATTACCAGTAAATTTCTCTCTAAATGTACTAAAATGATGTGATTCAAAGAAATTATCGCTATTAACAGCTGAGCTTAAGTAGTCTTTGCCAAATCTTTTAAGGGAGTTCCACCAATTCCCTGGTTTGTCTTTTACTCATTTAACAAATATTAATTGAACAACTGCTATGTGCATGGCATTTTGCTGGGTATTTAACAGCATAATAAAGAGGCATGCCATTTTATGCCTTCCAAGGCTTTAAAATTTAATTATAGTTCTCTTGCATTATCATTTGAGTTTATTTCTTGACTGGTTTGGCACACCCTCTCCTCACCACTTCTAATTCATATCTATTACTGTTGTAGAGGAATGATTTCTGGGTGCCTATGTCACATCCATCTCTTCAACCAACCGACCAACCAACCAACTTTTATTGAGTGCCTACTACGAACAAGATACTGTATTAGTGGCTGTGGAAATAGAAAAATACATAAGACGTGACAAAGTTTAAGACATGACCTTTCCCTCAAGATGTTTACAGGCTTGTTGGGGAAATAATTCAGGCACACATTAAGAAAAGACTAACAATATAAAGGCAGTAAATGAAAAGTGTCATTAGAGTGGAACAAATTATAAGTGCTATAGAAGTTTAGGAGAAGGAGCTATGATTTCCATTTCGGGTGGTTAGGGAATGCTTATGTTGAAAGAATTTAAACAAAGCGATGGAAAGGAATTTGATAGATGTATGTGAGCCAGAAGAGCATTCTAGTTCTGAGAAACAGAGTAAAGTCTTGGATGTAGGATACTTAAGAAATGTTTTCAGGGGATAATGTGTCTGAAGACTAGTTAGTCTGGAGCGAAAAGTTCATGGAGGCAGGTAGTAAAAGATAAGTCAGAGAAGCATATTGAGGCTGGGTAGTTGAAGGTATTTGGAGTATTTTATTCTGGTGTTCCATTTTTGGAAAGACACTGAGAAAGTGGAACATCTTAGGAAGATGGTGAACAGGATAGTGAGTGGACTGGAGACAGACTGTACTACATAAGGTTTAGTTGAAGGTAGTGGATTTGGCTGGTTTGGAGAAGATAAGACTTGGAGTAGGGATGGGAAATTGGAAAACTGTCATGTGAAAGAAGGATTAGACCAATGTTCTAGTGGATGAGAAATGAATGAAAACTTTAGAGGCAGATTTAGGCTTGATGTAAAAGAAGCATCTTACTTTAAAGTATTCCATGAATGTGGAATGGGCTGCTAATAGGGTCCCTATTACTGCTGGATGTATCAGGTGGAGACTGGATGACTCCTGTTTCATGTTGGGAGGCTTTTTGTTAAGGACCATGTTGAGCTAGATGGCCTCTAAGGGCCCTTCTAGATATGTAATTCTATGATTTTGTGAATGTCAGGACAAGTAGTCTTCAGTTGTTAAGGGCTGACTTTATTAGTATTAATAATAGAGACAATAAATTGGACTAGTCTATGTTTTTTATTCCCAATATTATATAAAAATGTAATATGAATTTATTATTTAAAATACTGCATAATTAAAAGCTAAATCTCCTTTCTCTAAGAAGCAGCATGACCTGTCTACTGATAAAGTGTTAGGCTTAGAAGTCTGGAAGACCTGGGTTCAAATCCCACCTCTGACACTTAGTAGTTACATACATATTTCAGTCTACTTGAGCCTCAGGCAACTTCTTAGGACTTATCTACTAGAATTCTCCAGGCTGAATTATCTTAAATATAGTGTGGTGTTTGTTTTTTGCTTACTACAAGCATTTTTTTTTGAGGGTTGTGGTGGTGGTGGTGGTGGTTCTGGACCTATTATTTTATCAGTGTGGGGAAACACCCTTCACTGATGTCCACTGGGCAGTTCATCTCTAATTTCTAGTCTGAGGCACAGAGATGGTTAAATGAATTGCCCATGGTCACACAGATCATGTCAGAGGAAGGACTTGAATCTAGGTCTTCCTTGTTTTGAGAGTGGCCTTTTCTTTCCTCTGAAGGTTGTTATCTCTCAAAATACTCATTTTAATTTAAAAAAAGTCCCTATACAGCTCTCTTGGTGGTATCACTTTGCCATCAAAAGTGAGAAACAGTATTGACAGGACTTTAAGGAAATGTTATGATCTGCTTTGTATCAGTGCATTCATAGTGATATAAGATGCTGGTAAGGTGAGGGGAGCTGATGCAGGTGGAAAAATTGAAGTTTTCTTGAAGGCACAGCAGGACTGAGTAAGCTACTTCTCTAGGCTTCTGTGTATTTTCTAGGTCCTTAAAAAAGAATTCCTCATAGAAACTCAATGTCTTATATAGTCTTTCTCTGCTTTCATAGGTAAAACCTGTAATCCACAGTAGGATCAACGTATCAGCACGCTTCAGGAAACCACTTCAGGAGCCCTGTACCATCTTGTAAGTTAGTTTTTATTTGAAGTTGGTTACTTTAATGGTTTGTGTTATTTCAAAATAGCATCTTTAATTTATTTGACTCAAGTGCTTTATTTTTTTCTAGCTTGATTGCTAATGGAGACCTTATAAGCCCAGCGTCACGCCTCTTCATCCCTAGAAAAGCTTTGAGTCAATGGGATCTTGTACTTGAAATGGTCACAGAGAAAATAACTTTAAGGAGCGGAGCTGTGCATAGGTAAGGCAAAGAGGTATTTTCATATGCTAATGAATTACAAAACCTCTTAACATGTTTTGGCCAAATTTATTTAGTGCTGTTAACCAATAGTTCATTGAGTTCACTCAAATTCTTGATTTTGGAGGGCACCTTTTAAATAAAGAACTACTTTTAAAAGCCTAGCCAATCAATTCTTAATTTACAGAGGGCACTCACAGGTATCTGGCTCTCCAAATCACTGGCAAGTACACAGTGTGACAAAAATATGTGAGGTGTCAATCTGCATATAAGTGACACCCCCACATAGGTGATAAAATGAAGTGAATCAAATTTATTTCACTGTAAGTCCAAGTCTGAGATGTGTGAAGCATTTTTTTTATAAGTGATTTGTCATTAGGACAAGAAGTCTTAGGAATTTTATTTCTGGGAGGAGGATGACAATATGGGGAGAAAAGGGTAGCAGATCTGGAGTTGGAGGATATAGGTTCAGATCTCAGTTATTTATTATTTACTAACCCTATAAGATATGAGTGACTAGGATGGTGAAAGACCTCAAGATCATGACACATGAGGACCATGATGAAGCAACTGGGGTTATTATCCTAGAGAAAAGAAGACTTAGGGGGAGCATGATATCTCTTTAAGTACTTGAAGTGCTGTTATATGGAATAAAGAGTACATTTGTTCTGATTGGTTTTAGAGGGCAGGACTAAGGGAAATGGGATGAAATTGTTGAGAGACAAATTTTGACTCAGTGTAAGGAAGAACTTCCAAACAAGTAGAGCTCTTCTAAAGGGGAATGGACTTCTGGAGGTAGTGGGATTCTCTTTCACTAGAGGTCTTCAAGCAGAGACTGGATGATCACTCACTTGTTAAGCTTATTATAGAGTGAATTTTTGTTCTCTTAATGGGTTAGCACTAGATGACTTCTAAAGTCCTTTCCAACTTTGAGACTTTGTGATGACCTGTTTGCTTAACACCTGTATGTCCTTGGTTGGGCATATCCCTTGACCTCTGTGGGCCTTGGATGTTAGACTAGATAATGGATAAAAAACTATGGTTGCTTGCTTTTATGCTGCCATGCTGCCCATGAGGTAAGGATGGATTTTTTTTTACATTTTGAAGTAAAGTTTTACTGTATTTAAAATGCATAAACTATTCTTGGCCTTATGGATCATACAAAAACAGCGGGTGGTCAGGATTTGGCCTTTGGGCCATGATTCACTGACCCCTAGATTATGTAATCTCTAAACTCCCTGCTATTATTATTGTCATTCAAAAAGAGAAGCATGTGCAAATTCAATAATAATTATAACGATAGCTTGCATTTCTAGAGTATGTTCTTTATAATAACCATATGCGATAGGTGGTGAGTGCTAGTCTACCTCAACACAAATTGCTTGTGATGTTTCCCTAGTGGTTCATTACTAGGTCCACAGGATACAGAATACAGTTGTGGAACAGTTCTTGAGAAAAAGAAAGAGGGCTGGTCTTGGCATCAGAAGGACATGAATTCAAGGACCATTTCTGACATTAACCTACCTTGTAACTTTAGGAGCAAGTCACTTAATCTTAGGCTATCTCAATTTTCTTATCTTCAGAATGAAAGTGATAATAGTACACTGTGGTGTCATTCATGATATTTTGAGTTTTACTTTAAAATGTGAACTCTTTGGGTGACATTGACTTTGTTAATACCATGCTCTAACCAGTTGAGGTAACTGGCCCCAGTTGTAAATGAATTATTATAGTTTGAAATTCCCATAGTAAATTGTTGGCATCCCTACAATTGATGGTAGATGGTAGTCCCCAGATAGAATTTGTGCTGTCTTCACAGATTTTGTGTGATAGTGAAATTAGAATGGGGAAATGAGAGCCATTCTTTTACGTGGCTGCTCAGCTAGATTAAAAGTCAGATATTTAATTATGAGAAGCAGGATGATGTAGGAATTATTTTGGAGCCAGAAGGTCTGGGTTATATCCCAACTTTGACATCAGCTGTGTAATCCTGATCCCCTCTGAGCCTCAGTTTCAACATCTTTAAATGGGTCTTACCAGATAGTCAGTATTTATTAAGTACTTAACTATGTGCCAGGCACTGTGCCAAGTGCTAAAGATACAAAGAAATACTTTAAAAAACAATCCCTGCCCTTGAGGAACTCAAAGTCTAATGGGGGAGACAATATACAAAGAACTATGTGGAAATTATATACAAAATAAATAGGAAATAATCAACAAAGGGAAGGCACTAGAATTAAGTGGAATTGGGAAGGGCTTCCTATAAAAGGCGGGATTTTTAGCGGGGACTGAAGGAAGTCAGGAGGCAGAGATGAGGAAAAAGAGCATGCCAGGAATGGGAGACAGCCAGAGAAAATGCTTGGAGCTGAGAGATAGAGTGTCTTGTTTGAGGAACTGCAGGGAGACCAGTGTCACTGGATCACAGAGCACTGGGGATAGTGGTGGTCGTGGTAAGCTGTACCTATCTCACAGAGTTGTGATGAAAGCACTTTGCAAATGTTAAAAAGTTTAAAAATGTTAAATGTTATAAATGTGAACTATTATTATCATTTTACCAGTTATGAAGGCAGGTTTATGTTAATAGACAAAAGTGTGAACATATCATAGTGAAGTAGCAAAGTCAGTGAGATTTGCTTGTAACTGATCTGGGCTATGTTCACTTAGCCCACCTAGCGATTAATGATTACCCAAGAGGGTCATTATCCTGTGAATCAGCATATTTGTCTCCTAAAATATTCCATATAATCCCTTTTAAACTCTCAGTTTTGTATTTCCTGTTTCATAACAAAAAAAGGAGAATTAACAACAACATTTTACACAATAGTTCTGAGGCCCAGAGCAATGGTTAGCGTAAGTCCTTAATCATTGAACCTTACCTACTGAAGATGTGCAAGTAAAACAAGCCCAACCTTTCTGTCTTCAGAGCCTCTTCCTATCTGTTCTTTCCATTTATAATTAGTCAAGGTAACTACTGCTTTGGACCTTCGTATTTTGAAAGAAATTGGAAATCGAAAAAGGTTTGGGACCAGATAAATGCAAAGAAAATAAGAATCAGGGTTTCCGTTCTGGTGCTTTGGATTGTGTCAACACAATTAAAAAAAATCATAAAAATAATAAAAGAGATTTCAACTGTACATAAAGTAAAACCTAATATATGTCTTAGATTCTTTTTGCTTTTTCACAAGTGTATGTAATGTTGAATTCTCACTTGTAATTCAGTAAAAATTCTGATAAAACATTGGCATTTTATTCTTTTCTTTTATTGAATGTTACCAATACATATGAAGATGATAGGTTGATTAATTTTTTGTGATAGTCTCATCTGTGTTTCTGATTATAGCAGACAGCTTTCAGTTAAGTATTTATGTTTGTGGCTAACAGAGAACAAATTGGCACGACATATTTGAACAATTCTATTTGTGGTTTGTCTTTTATTTTCTAAGTTTCCTATTAACCTGTTTTTCATATTCTTTCAAAAATGTGACCAGCACATATTAAATAGGCTCATAAAGTAATCATTGTTCTTTTAATAAGTAACAGATTAATTGTAGCTTGTTGCAGCAGTCTTACCATAAAGGGAGGTTCCTGTAAACCTCTTGATTCTGGCAAAGATATACTGCTTACTTACTTATGAGGTGGGGAAAAAGCCAAGCATTCATGCTATGCTGTTCTGCATCATTAATCCTAAAGTTGGGCTGTGTTCCCTCCCTGTCTCCTCACTTTATTTTTTGACCTGGTTCAATGTTTATTTTGATGCAGCCCTCTGGCCTTGGGCCATTCTAGCTGAGAATAGGGTTAGACAGTTTGTCAGTTGGGCAGATATATTATTAAAATGCATTTCTTAAAATTTTTACAAAATATTTATGTAAATCTTTGAACAATGAAGATAAATCCTGACTTAAAGTTATGTATTTAGGGTAAAGATTACAGACCAACAGCTGGACGGGAACTAACAGGTGATCTGGTCCAACCCTGTCATTTTGCAGATGGAGACACTGAGGTCTAAAGAGTTTGACTTTCCTAAGGTCATACAGTTGGTAAGGAGCAGAGCCAGGATTTGAACTGGGGCCCTCTGATTTAAGATCTATTGCTCTTAGTACTGCACCTGACTGATTTCTACAGTAACAGGAATTTCTTCCAAGAAGAGGCAGATGGATATAGGAGAAAGAGTTAGTCAGTGTTTGCATCCTGGTTCTGACACTTACTAGCTGTGTGACCCTTGGATTTAATTTTTCTAAGCTTTTCTCTCCTCAGATGTAAAAGCCACCTCCTGATTCACAGGGTTGTTGTGAGGCGGTCTGTATAAGGGGTGACTGATTGTAATTAGATTTTTAGACTCACTCAATGTGTAATATTACTGAACAGCTATTCTCTTGACTGAATGTCAGTATGATTTTTGGTGAGCATTTAATCTTAGTGGTAGTATTTCTCAACCAAACACCAAAACTCTGAATATTGAACCATATAAATAATGAAAAGTTTCAAGTACCCCATTTTGAACAAACTTTTGAATGCTAATAAATGTGTTTGCCACAAATTTTTACAGACTTTATACTTTAGAAGGAAAACTTGTCCAAAGTGGGTCAGAGTTGGAGAATGGACAGTTTTATGTAGCAGTTGGCAGAGACAAGTTTAAGAAATTGCCGTACAGTGATTTACTTTTTGATAAATCAGCAATGAGAAGGCCTTATGGGTAAGTTCTCACCTTTTTTTTTAGTAGCTAACATTTTATTAGTTATTGCATTAAGCCATTTGCTGACTACCAATAAGTTTCATATTTAATTGAAACTCTTGTTCAAATGTTAGGATCCAAAGAATTAGTGATACCATAATCTGTATCTTTACGGCTGTGATAAGACAATAAGAAGTTATATTTAAGAAAATCTGTTTTTCTGAATCTGGGAAAGTACACATGGATTTTATATTGTGTGCAGACCATGTAATGATTTTGACAGATTTTTTCTTATGAAAAAGATTCACCATAATGAACATGAAAAAAATGTTAAAACTAATGGAAACTTTAAGACTATCTTAAGAATTTAGACAGAAAAAAAACCCTATTTTTCAGTTTGGCTCAGGGAGAAACAGCAACTATTTTTTGAAAATAACTAGTTTTTCATGTGCTCTTTTTATATTAAGTCTGACTGTTTTGCATAGTTATTATATTACACTTTAAAGAAATTGAGTTGTTAGTTGTATAGTTAGTGTAGAGAAATTGCCTTTATTTCTAGTTACACATACATGTTTTTCTAGTTGAGAATGCACAATGGATAATTTTACTTTGTTCTTGAAGGGGTATTGTATTTTTGCTTCAAGAATAGAACCTTCAAAGAACTTAAGGACTATAAACATACTGTTTGTTAGATATGTGGCCATTGTAACTCACTACCACTTCCTTGTCCTTGTCCTTGCCATATTGGCCTCCTATCCTGGCTATTTTTAGTCAATGGGCATCATAAGGAGAGAATGGAGAATAACTACCTCATCTTTCTGTATCTATCCTACTTTTTGCCATGAGGCAAAGTTTTGGAAGACAGAAAAAGAAATCATTGATTTGAATTCCACTGATTCAGATTTCATAATAAATGGGAAAGAAGATAATGTCAACTAAATTTTGAAGGGTGATGGTATTTGAACTATAAAAGAGAACAAATATTTTCAGCTACCCTAGAAGCACCAAATATTATTTTAATCATAAATCACTCAACCATTTGAAAAAATATAGATAAAAAAGTTAACTCAGTTTGTTAGGTAACTCTTTGCTAATCTACTTCAAGTTACATATACTTTAAAGGAATAAAAACTGCATTTATTTTAAAGTGTTTTATGAACCATACTTTCTCACCAATATAGATGAGTCTTTAGTTCATTAAAGTTTTGAAATGTGTGTATCTGTTACCTTTCATTTGGTGGAATTGGGGATGGCAGTATAAATTAGGCTGCCTTCCAACCATGTATCTGTTTAATATGTGGCTTTAGAGCCTTAAAATCTCATGGGATTTTTTTGTAAATATTGGTAATTTAAAATCTACTTAAAAAACTTACCTTGCAGATAAATGCCAACAATTTGCCAGCCTCCTGTCCCCACAAGGGGTATATACTGAATAACCTCATCATTATTTACTGCTTACCTAGCAGAAAGTACTATTCAGCCTGGAAAGTAGCTTTTTGCAAGGTAAATTTAAAACATTGGGGCTTGAAATTTGAATTCTTTGAAATAAATTTTTGAATGTTCCTAAAAGCCCATAGATGATTTTATCAAAGAACTATCTAGGAAATTGTAGTCAACAGATTGATGCTAACATGAGTTAGCATTTTTTTGTGTACCAGTGACTTAAGCATGAACAGACAATGGATTAATGTTTTTATCATGGTACGGTGTATGTTATTATTGGTAATACAATATTCCAATTCTTAAATTATGATTTCTTTCTGCAGTCAGAAAGCCTCTTCACTACCTCCTATTGTTGGATCCAGAAAATCTAAAGGGAGTGTAAGTATCAGATGCTATAGTCATTCTCCTTAATGTTTTGAGTTTCCAAAGGATGCAGAGAGGCTGTTCTTTGGGTTTCAATTAAATCAGAAGATAAAATTCAGCTACCTAGAGATATAGTTGTGATTATATGAACCAAATGTATCATAATATTACAACTGGAAGAATAGATATTTGAGACGTAGACTCTAAATTCTGCTGTAGAAGAGCATTATGGGGTGGAGTATAAATGTATAAAACATAGCTGAAAGTGGGACTAAATTTTTTTCACAGTGGTGCATTGTTCTGCATGTACCTCTGTCTCTAATTTTAAATCATGATTGAAGCCCTGGAATAGAATCTGTGATAAATTCAATATTATGCTGATTTGAACTAGTTGACATATCCTTCCTCTGCCTTATATCAATGATAGTGACAAGGGGAGTTTGTCTTAAGAGTATGGTAGAGGGGCAGCTAGTTGGCACAGTAGATAGAACACTGGCCCTGGAGTCAAAAGGACCTGAGTTCAAATCCAGTCTCAGATACTTACTAGCTATGTGACCCTAGGCAAGTCACTCAACCCTCCCCACCCCCCCAATAAAAAAAAAGGTAACACTCCCTTTTCACGCCTCAGAAGGGAAAGGTATGACTTGAAGTGCCTGGCCTTCCTTAACTTTCTGTCATGGATTTTTCATCTATTCATTCATCCTATTCATTTGCTAATTTCATCCATTAATTCATTAAATCATTCCCAGGTTTGAGGTGACATTTGTATTTGGGTCCTGCAACTGCCACCAATTAATTGTGTGACTATGAATAAATCACTTGCTTTAATTTTTCTCATCTCTAAAATGATCATAATAATTACACTGCTTATGACACAGGGCTAATGTGAGGACAGTGGCCAGTATACTATAAAGCTCTCTATAAATGTGACCTAGCATGATATTATTATATATGTGTGTATGTGTATGTGTGTGTGTATCTCCACTCTAATATCTACTCATATTTACTATCCTGTAATTATAGGCAAAGGTACTTAATTCAACTAACATTGATACTGATAAACATTTAATAAGTTGAGAGGCATGTACTGGTGACTAAGTCAAAGCCATAGTGGTGGCACAATGGGAAGAACTTTGGTCTGAGAGACAGGAGACCTGGGTTAAGATCCCTCTGAGATTCAGGCTTCTGATCTTATCTATAAAATGAGAGAGGTTTATTTAAGTAACCTCTAAGGTCCTTTCTCACTCTAAAATTGTATGGTTCTCTGAGATCTGATATTTACTGGTATGTAATTTTCTTTGGCTGTGTCTGCAAGGGGTTATTGGTTCTACTATTTTGATCAAATTATTTGGTTAATCAAACAGCTGGTTTGACTTTTTGTCCCAGTAAATTAGCTAAATTGAGGTGTTAATTTGGCATTATGGAGATCTAGTTGTAGCCAAGCAATTGCAATTTTTACTGATAAACTTCATGTAATTTTCTTTAGCTAAAACTCTAAAGTTGTTAGACTGTAAAAAAAAAATCTTAGATGACTATGAACATAATGCTATTAGTGTGTCAATCAAGCAAAAGAAATCCCCGAAACTTTTTGAGAGAGCCAGAACATTGTAGTGGCAAGAGTGCTACATTTGGCATTGGGAGATACTTTACTTTAAATCCTGCTTTCATCACTATTTTAAGGACCATATCTAAGTTAGCTTCACCTTTCTTAGTCTCAGTTTTGTCATCTGTGAAGTGGGCATAACAATATCTCTAGCATCCGTCTTACAAGGATCACTGTAAGGATCAAGTAAGATAATGAATGTGAAAATGCTTTGCAGAGTTTAAAGTGGCATATCAATGTCAGCCATTATTATTATTTTTGATCATGTACTTTGTTTACATGAGTACACAAAGGCTGGGTACTCTGATGGTATAAAAGAGCATAAGAATTAGTTCCTGCCCTAAGACTATTTTAATCTGTTTGAGAAGCAGGAAATGGACAAAAGAAAATAGTTACAAACATATGGAAATCTATGATAATGTCAAATGAATGCCAGTATTTCAGAGGAGGGAGAGAACACTAGGCTGGTGGTAGAAGAAAATGTTATATATGAAGTAGAGCTTATAATTATTGTAGGCAGTAATTATCAAAACTATCTGGTATTGGCTAAGAAATGGAAAGGTAGATTAATGGAACAGAGTAGACATACAATTTATAACAGCAAATAAATATAGTAACCTTGTATTTGACAAATGTAAAGACTTAAGATTTTGGCATAAGAATTCATTATTTGGTAAAAATTGTTGAGAAAACTGGAAAGCAGTGTGGCAGCAACTAGCCATAGACTAATATCTTACACCATTAACCAAGATAAGGTCAAAATGGATACATGACCTAGATATAGAGAGATATTAACAAGAAAATTTGGAGAACATGAAACATATTATCTGCATTATGGATAGGTGAATAATTTATGAATAAAGAGCAGAGTAAGGTGTAAAAATGGATAATTTTGATTACATTAAATTAAAAAGTTTTTGTACAGATAAAACAAATGTAGCCAAGATCAGAAAGAAAGCAGAAAATTGGGAAAAAAGTTTATAGACAATTTCTCATATAAAGTTTCATCTCAAGTATATAAAGAACTTTGTCAAATCTGTAAAAATATGAGTCATTCCTCAATTAATAAATGGTCGAAGGATATGAGCTTCAAGGAATTATACAATTCAGATAAGTAGAGAAGAGAAGATGAAGGAATTCCTCTGTGTGTGTGTGTGTGTGTGTGTGTGTGTGTGTGTGTGTGTGTGTGTGTGTAGCTTGAGCAAAGACATTGGCATGAAGTGCTTGGGAGAAGATGAGTCATCTGGAGTGGGGGTTTCATGCAGGGGAGTTGTTGTTCAGTTGTTTCAGTCATGTCTAACCATTCATGACTCTATTTGATGTTTTCTTGGTAAAGGTGCTGGAATGGTTTACCATTTCCTTCTCCAGCTCATTTTATAGATGAGGAAACTGAAGCAAACAGGGTGAAGAGACTTGTCCAGGGTAAAACAGCTAGTATCTGAGGCCAGATTTGAACTCAGGAAGATGAGTCTTCCTGATTCCAGGCCCAGAATTCCTGACTTGCTGCCCCATGCAGGGGAGTAGTAGGTATTAATTTTGGAAAGATAGGTTGGACTCAGATTACAGAGGACCTTAAATGCCAGATTTATAGTTTGGACTTTATCTTGTAGGCATTAGAAAACCTTTTGATATATTTGAGCAGGGGAGTGACATGATCAATATTAAGAACTTTATTCTGGTTTCAGTGTGCATGATTGATTGGAAGGAAAAGAAACTGGAATAAAGGGGACAAGTTAGGAAAATTCTATATTTCAGATAAGAGATAATTAAGGTCCTGATACTCTGACATTATAGAAGAAGAATCCTCAGGGCTTTGTCACTGGTTGTATGTTGGAGTCATGGGAGAGGAAGGAGTCAGTGATGACTTAAGGTTTCAAACAAAGTTGGCTAGAAGAACAGCAGGTCTAAAATGGGGTATTCTATATATGTACCTGGTCCTGCTGCTCACACCCTAATTTGACATCTGACATTGGTCTGTCCTCTCTCGTCAGTCTCCCCTCCCTCTATCCTTTACTTAATCTCCTCCCTTCTTTGAATATAGATTTCTATATTCAACTGATTGTGTATAGGATTCCCTTTTTGAGCCAATACTGATGAAAGTGAGGTTCAAGGAATGCCCGTCACTGTCTTTCCTGCCACTGTAATAGGTTTTTTACGTCTCTTCATATGAAATGATTTACCCCATTCTACCTCTCTCTTCCTTCTGCACCCAGTGTACTGTTCTTTCTCATCCCTTAATTATTTTTTATGCCATTCCCTTAAATTCACCTTATATCCGTAACCTCTCTCAATGTACATTCCTTGTAGCTGTACTATTACTGATATACTTTTTTAAAGAATTGCAAGTATCATCTTCCCATGTAGGGATGTAAACTGTTCAGCTCCACTGAATCCCTTGTGATTTCTTTTCCATTTTCCCCCTTTTAGGCTTTTCTTGGGTCTTGATATTGGAGACCTGTTTTTTTGGTTCAATTCTGGTCTTCTCCTTATGAAAGCTTGAAATCCTTTAATTTCATTGAATGACCATTTTCCCTTTGGGGTGTTATGATGCTTAATTTCACTGGGTAGGTGATTCTTGGTTATAGTTCTAGCTCCTTTGCCTTCTAGAATATAATGTTCCATAACCTCTGATCCTTTAATGTCGCAGCTGCCAAGTCCTGTGTAATCCTGATTGTGGCTCCCCAATATTTGAATTGTTTCTTTCAGGCCACCTGTAGTATTCTTTCCTTGACTTGATAGTTCTGCAATTAGGCTATAATGTTCTTTTGAGTTTTTATTTTTGGGACTTCTTTCCTGAGGTGGTCGGTAGATTCTTTCAATGCCTGTTTTGCCCTTTGGTTCCAGAATATCAGGGCAGTTTTCCTTGATAATTTCTTGAAAGATGCTGTACAGTTCCTCCTTTTGATTATAGCTTTCAGGTAGTCCAATGATTCAGACATTGTGTCTCCTGGATCTACTTTCTAGGTCAGTTATTTTTCCTATGAGGTATTTTACATTTTCTTCTATTTTTCATTTTTTTGAATTTGTTTGATTCTTTTGATGTCTCATGGTGTCATTAGCTTCTACTTGCCCAATTCTAACTTTTAAGGAGTTGTTTTCCTCAGTTAGCTTTTTGTACCTTCTTTTCTATTTGGCCAATTGTATTTTTGAGGGAGTTGCTTTCTTCAATGGATTTTTGTATCTCCATTTGGCCAATTCTACTTTTTAAGCAGTTGTTTTCTTTTTCCAAGCTAGTGACTCTTTTTTTTTTTCATAATTCTCTTGCTTCACTCTCATTTCTTTTCTCTTTTTTTTGACCTCTCTTGTGATTTTTAAACTCCTTTTTGAGCTCTTTCTGGGCTTGAGACTACTTCCCATTTTTGTTTGGGTTTTTGCTCATAGATGTTTTGACATTGTTGTCCTTTTCTGAGTT